AGTTACTTATGCATTCATTAGTTGCTTTTTCTATATGTCTTGACCAGGAATCAAACCAACAACCTTGGCATATCTGGAGGATGCTCTAACCAGCTGAGTTATCTGGATGGGGCCTAGGGGTCAACTTTTGATTAACTGGCCAGGGAATATCCTCTGGGAAAGTAACATGAAGTTGATCTGGACACGATGCAAAACCATGCCATGATGACAACTGTTTTAGGCAGAGTAAACAACAACAGGAGAAGCCCTGAATGACAAATGAACTTGGTTTATTTGAGGAATGAAAAGAAGGCCAGTTGTGGTTGGACATAAGTACAGTAAGAGTGGGGAGAAAAATGATAGGAGATGGGGTTTGGGCAGGTGGCAGGAGTCAGATCACATGGGGTCTCAGAGGTCAGGGTGGGAGCTTGGATTTTATCCTACCTGTACTGAGCAGTCTTTAATAACAAAAAATCTGTAATGCAAATGAGTTTGAAAAATAATTATTTTGATGGGAACTTAATAACATGGGCTCTCAATCATTTGTCACATAAACTCCAAACATTGAAGACAGTAGAGACTTTGGGAGAGCAAAGGGAGGGACATAGAATTATCCGCTGGGCAAAGCTCAGGCAGTAGACTTCCTTGTCCCCTGTTCTTGAAGCAGGAGGTCTGAATATCTATTGGCTGTGATTTTGCCAGTATCCATCTGTGGTACTGAGAAGGTGGCCCCAAATTCAAGACACATTATACAATTAGACGCATATCCCTGGGATTCACTGCCTCCTGAAAAGAATGTTAACAATAGCACAGGTCTTCGAGGTCTGCTCAGATGTAGATCTCTAAAAAACCAGGGATGGAGACTGTTTCTAGACTTAGCCAAATGTCTTCCAAACAGAAAGCAACTCTGTAACTTTTATGCAGGACAGGTGCTGTTTTATGCTCTGAAAACAAATACCCAAGCTTCAACCAAAACAGGGAAAGCAATGTTCAGCAAGCTTCCTGGAAATTTTCAGAGAGCAATTTTCATATATTAGTGTGTATTATATATACAAGTCACTTATGGGACAAGTGATCCTCAGGAAAGAACTATTGGGCTGCCTTGGCATCGTTGTTACAGATATATGTAAAAGGAGTTCATTCATTGTTTTTTCAGATAATTCTTGAGCCCTATGTATTATGTACTGTGCTAGATACTGAGATTTAGTGGAGAGTAAGGTTAATTGGACGCCATCAAGAAGCATTTATGTTAACAGTAATAACACAACATTTATTGAGTATTTCTTATATTCCAGTACTGTTCATAGGGCATTAAGTCATTCAATGGGAAAGCTATGCAGTAAACAAATAAGTAACTACATAATATGAGGTAATAATAAGGGATGTAAAGAAAAATAAAGCAGGGTATGGTAGAAAGATTAATGGTGGCCCTGAGATGTATATGTCCTAATCCCCAGAACCTATGAATACAAGAGGGGACCCCCCTCAAAAGAGGAAATTGTCTTCTGGAGGGCAGGCCCCTTGTACAGGTTTCCCCTGTTAGGTGAGTACTCTAGGAACCCGTTGGTATCAGTGAACCAGCCAGCATTGTTGTAAGAAGCTGCATTTGGCTTCAATAAATTCTTCTGGAAGACTTTTTCAATGCATTTGCCCATTTCATGATGGGTAATTTAGGAGCGCACCTGCCCACACCACACTGAGTGTTCACTAGTTTTTGACCAAAAAACCAGCATGACCCCTGTGCCCCTCCTTCCTTCTTCACCCAATCTCACCATGAGTGACTTTTTTTTGGTTTCCCTTTATTAAAAAAGTCCTCAAAGGGAAATGCTTTGCCAACGTGGAAGAGGGGAAACAAAAAATGGCAGAAGCACTAAAAGTATCAAAATCAATGAGTTCAAAAACTGTTTTCAGCAGTATAAAAAAGTCTCTATAGGTGTATTGCATCAAATGGAGTGTATTGGAAGGTGACTGAAGTTTAAATAATGTAAGAATAAATACATGCATTTTTATAAATAATTTCTGATTTTTGGGGTTCCCCCTTGTATGTTACCTTATATAGCAAAAAGGAATTTGCAGATGTAGTTAAGGATTATCCAGAAAGGTCCAATGTAATTGCAATGGTTGTTGTAAGAAAGTGAATGAAATGTCAGAGACAGAAGAGGTAAGAATGGAAGCAGAAGGAAGATGCTATGCTGTTGGCTTTGAAAATGATGGAAGGGGCCATGAGCCAAGTAATACAGAAAACCTAGAAGCTGGAAAAGACAAGGAAGTAGATTCTCCCCTATAGATTCCAAATTGAATGTAGGCATGTTAAGCCTTGATATTAGTCCAGTGAAACTGAGTTTGGACTTCTGACCTCTAGGAGTGTAAAAGAATGCATTGTGTGGCTTTAAGTCACTAAGTTTATAGTAATTGGTTACAGCAGCAATAGGAAAGTAATACACAGGGTTATAGGCTGTTGAATGTTCTCAGCATTGGCCTGGCAACCTTTCAGCAGAAATGTGAATGAAGTGAAGGAGGGAGCAATCGGGTTGGCTGTCTGGGAAAGCATGCCAGCTCCAGGGAACAGCAAGTCAAATGCTCTGAGGAGGGACTAGTTTCACTGTGTTTGAGATCTAGTAAGAAGGTGTGTATGAGTGAGCAAGAGAACCTTGGAGAGGAAGCCAGGGGCCAGGTTATATAGGGCCTTGTAGCACAGATCTAGATGAGAGCAGGTTGAAAGGAGCCTATTCTGCAGAGAATTGACAGGATTTGTTGATGGATTGGATGTGAGCTATGAGAGAAAGAGGGGAGACCAAGATGATGTCAGGATTTTGATGACGATATTTGCTGAGATTTGGAACATTCTAGGAGGAATAGATTTGAGGTGGGAAATCATGAGTTTGTTCTTAGATATGTTATGTTTCGGATGATTATTGGGCAGGCAGGCAGGCAGATGGACAGAGAGCCTGATGCCCAAGGGCGTGGTTGAGGCTGGCAATGTCGCTTGTGGAGCCCTGGTTTGCAAGTAAAGCCATGGAATCCATGCCTGTGCAGATAGACGCTGAGGCCAGAGCCTGAAAGAGGACAGCTCATCACAGGAAAAAATTGGGGGCACAGGTGTTACTTTCATCTTCAAGAAATGCAAAGCTAATATTTTTGATCTTCTGGCCTGTCTGAATTTTAGAAAATGGCAACTTGTCCCTTGCAAAAGTCCTAAGTAGCCACTGTCTTGGCCGGTTTGCCAGGGCTCTCAGTGTGCTTTCAAAACGCCAGTGAGCTCAAATTCTGTTGATTGCCTGACAGCTGTGAATACAAGATGCTGACTCCAAGACTGCAACTCATTCTGTGGAGGGCACCAGCCTTTCCCACTAATGACTGCCGAGCTGAGCCACCTGAAGCCTGCATGGGGTTTAGCAGCAGCTGCACTTCTGCTCCAAGAAACAACTCATTGCAATCAGATCAAACTGAGGCTCTTCCTTGCTTCACCTAGAAGCTTGGGTATTTGTTTTCAAAGCATTAAACAGTAAGAGTCCTAGCTTAACAGCCACACAGGTGTTTTTGGTCTGAAAGGGATTTGGCTAGACCAGCAAGCCCCCTCCCTGGTTTTTTGAAATCTGTTTGAACAGAGAACCTTGAGACATTCCTGCTACCATTAGTTCTTCTATCTGACTTTTCAGTGTGACCAGGGATGAGGACAAAAGGAGGGGCTGCCTATCTGGAACTAGATTTACAATTCTAATTATTTAATTTCCTCTTTAACTCCCTGACCCCTTGCTTTTTCTCAGTACGATTTTTCTGACCTTATAAGTAGCCAACTGATTTACTCCCCATTCTGGCTCTTCCTCAGGAAAACTCACTTTTCCTCCCTGTTTCACCACAAGTTGTCAGCTCCTTGTTACTACACTGCTTAGAGCAGCTTTTCTCAGCCCTGGCTGAACACTGGAACCACCTGGAGAGCTTTTACAAAACCTTAAGTCTGGGCCTATCCCCAGAGATTCTAATTTAATTGTCTTCCAGTGTAGCCTGGGCACCTGGATTTTAAAACTCTCCCCAGGTAACTCTAATGTGCAGCCATGACTGAGAACCACTGGCCTCCAGACTCTCTGCCCTTTCCAAATTAACAATCAGCTAATTTCATGCACCTCAGCCATCATGAGAAAGTGAGAGATGAACCCCCAGGGCTCTCTTCATTTCAAGGTAACACTATATTACAGCGGTAGCCTTCAGGAGAACAAGTCCTGCTGCTTGTAATCTCTCTCCCGGGAACTCCAGATCCAGGCGAAGACAAGACTGCAGTGGAGAAGATATCTTGGGGCATGAGCCTTCCTTTAATAATTCTGTCAGGTGAGAATGTGTCTGTGCAAACCAGGGAGTTATCTTTGACTTCCTCTCAGGGCGTTTGGAAATTGAGCTCGCTTGAATCCTGTACCAGCTGCATAAAGATCAGCTAATTATTGAGGGCATGCAAACGTGGTTATAAAGCGCGACCTGTGCTCTCCAGAAGAGCCCACTGGAAAGAAAGTTGAGAAACGGCGGCTATACCTTTGTAATTCAAAGTGTGTACTGCGGCCCGCCGGCACCGGCACGGCTGGGAGCTTCTCGTACATTACTTTGGGCCTTAACTTGGACCTATTCAATAAAAATCTGCATCTAAACAAGATGTCCAGGAGAGTGAGCATGCTAGTCAAAGTTTGAGCAGCGCTGGTTTATTCAACTGCGGATAACGCAAGGCGCTAAAATGCATTTAGCAGCAGGGTCGAGGGAGAGGGAGCAATTTATTCCTATTCCTGCACTTTTTTTCCTTTCTTTTTTTTGTAGTTAAGGGCAGAGACTGGAGGCTGGCAGGCTAAGGTGCGGGACCTGGTCTAGGCGGCCCCGCCTGCCCGCCACGCCTCCTTCCTGGGTCTCAGCCCTACCCGCGGTTGCTGTGGCAGCACGGGACGCAGCTCCAGTGTGACTGCCAGGGCCTCCACCTTCTTCTCCTCCTCCTCCAGAGACTTCCCCGGACCCCTGACCGCGGCGCGTCCGGAGGCTCAGCCATGCCCCTGGGGAGACGCGGAGGCCGGGTGAGCGCGCTGGAGGGCGGCGGGGAGGAAGAGGCGCCCCCCGCGGCGGCCGCAGTGCCCTCGGTGCCTTGGGCGTCTCCACCGCAGCCGGAGGCGGCGGCCGAACAGGTCCTGCTCCGGGGCATCTTCGAGATCGGAAGGAGCAGCTGCGACGTGGTGCTGAGCGTGCGGGCTCTCAGGTGGCGGCCCATCCTACCCGTGCGCCCGGCGGGTGAGTGCGCGGGTCCCGGAGCCTGCGTCTCCCACTGCGTCCTCCCTCCCCCGCCCCGCGCACCCTACCCGGACGCAGCCTCACCCCTTCCCTAAGCTCCTCCTTCACCCGTGCTGGCTGCTGAGTCCTGGAGCCACCGCAGAGCCCTTCCCAGCTGGGGATAACCCGGGGCACTCCCGGGGGCCTCCCGCCACTTGCCACCTCCTGCCGGTCTTGCCGCCTGGGGGTGCATTCCCCGGGCCACATCTCACTCAGGTTCTGCTCTGCGCCAAAGAGGAAAGAATTGATCCCCGAAGGGATGGTGTTTTCTATACCCGGGAAGGGCACCTACTTTTCCCTGCCAAATTGATAAAGTTTTAATGTCGATTTCCGACCGTGTTTTTAAAGTGTAAGCCTTTTTTTATAACCTCCACGAGGGTTCTGAATTAAACTCTTATTTTGCTGACTCCCAAAAGTTCAACCTCAGTGCTTTGGAGTCTCCCCGGACTTTTCCATCCTTCACATTTCTCTCGTCATTGTCTATAATCAAGCTTTCTTCAGGCTCAGTCTAGAAACTTTTGATTTTTAAGGTTGACTTTGGAATCGTCATCATGCTGTTTCCTTGCATTTGACTTTTACTGACTCGAAAATTTAGTTTTAGGACGTGTTATAATGCTGTATTTCATAATGGAAATATTTCAAGTTTTAGTATAGAGATGATTTAGAGAAAAACTTTGGGATGCGGTACCCTCTCTTCTAGCTAAATACAAACTTAGGAAATTTAAAAAATGGCCTCCCTTTGTTGGCAAACAAGACACAGTGTACTATTTATATTACAGGATAGGAAAACAACACTATTTTAAAGGGTTTTTTTTTTTGTTTGGTTGTTTGTTTTTGTACAAAAGTCAGAATGCAGCAGAGGAGTTAGGGGCCCAGCACTGGGTAAGAGTGTGAATTCAGCTTCTGCACATGCCTTACTCACTCCACTAAAACTTCCTTTTGAACTTAATTTGAATGTTTTCAAGTGTTTTGAAAACCAAGGCACAATATTTTCTTGAACTTTTGAGTTAAAATCTAGGGATATGGACAGAATTATTCTGTTTAGTTTTTAAGATAGTTTGAACTTTGGGGATAATAGAAATTTACAGTAAGAGTTTAGGTTAGTCTACAAGAGCCAGTTTACCCTAAAACAAAACTGAAATCTTAGAGAATTAAAATGAAATATTATGCAATGAGAGGTCATAAAAATTACTATTGCAATGCTGGTAAACAAAAAGGCAAATAATAACATGAAAAATAAAATATTGTTTTATATTGAGTGGTGATTGAGGAAAAGTAGGCGTTATTAGCATAACTGTGAGTAGCATTTGAAAAGATACCTTGACAGTTTTAACTCTAAAGTTTCCAAGTGTTGACTCTTTAATTTGGCCCTAAAACCCTTAGCTTTTCTTTTCCTTCATCTAGAGGTACCACTTTTTCTTTGTATTAACTCGTAGTATGCAAACCATATTGGGCCCCTGAATTTGAAGCCTAGTACCTTAGTAAGTACTTCTATTTATAGAAGAAACCAAGAAATGCTTCACTTGGTAAAATAGGGGTGGGAAAAGAAAATGAGGTATTAAGAGATGGTATGTTTAGCCCTGGCTGGTGTAGCTCAGTGGATTGAGCACTGGCCTGCAAATCAAAGGGTCTCTGGTTTGATTCCCCGTCAGGGCCCAATCCTGGGTTGCAGGCGAGGTCCCCAGTAGGGGGCACGCAAGAGGCAACCACACATTGATGTTTCTGTCCCTTTCTGTCTCCCTCCCTTCCCCTCTGTCTAAAAATAATCTTTAAAAAAAGATGGTATGTTCAAATGTGAGAAATAGTGCCTGATGAGTTTACATGGGTTTACATGGATGAGTTTACATGGGTTTACATGGGAGTAGTAAATGAGGAAAAACTACATCAAGGTCACTGTACTTGAAAGGATGAAGTGGGAGGTGACCATGTCCACTCTGCTCCAGAAGAGGGTGAGGGTGGGGTCACTGGGCATTATAAACGCACACAGATTGTAACAGGGCACAGCCAGGGCCGCCTTAAAGGGTATTTGTAACGGGGTCCAGAAATTAGGGTGCCCAAGAAAAATATATTCTTCTCACCCAAGACAGGCTGCCATGGGGGATGGGAGCCTCAAGCAGGACCTTTGAGAGTTACTTTGTGTATCAGTAACAGGCCACCTTCTTACCTGAAGTGGAGCAGGGCCCTTGAGAGTCATTTGCATGTCAATAACAGGGTAGCTTCATCATTCCTCATATGCAGAGAGGGTTATTTTACATTTTCCATCTCTACGAGGTTAACCGGGAAAGTCTGAAAAACTTCTAATGCAGAATGTTACAGAGAGGGAGGAGAGACTGGGGCCTGCGGGAGAGACAAAGGGACACAGATTCTGGGGAAAAATGTGAAGACCACACGGGAAGAAAAGGGGAGAAAGGACTCTTGCTAGTGGGCCATGGGAAGGTGCCACATGGTTATGGATTAAGAGCTGGGTATCACAGTGACACAGCGGATGGTGCTGAGAACCGTGGCAGGCCTGCCTAGCCGAGCCTCGGACTTCCGTTCTTTTTCTTCTGAAGGACGGTACCCCTGACTTGCCTAACTGGGCAAAGGTGGGGAAGGCAGGACTGTGTGTGTTGGTGGGTGTTTTAAAGGGATTTTGAGATTTAAGAGCGACATTTAGCCATTAATCAAACCTGTACAACTTTTGAATAAATAGTTCCTTTCCTTTTCACCAAACTCTGCTATTGAGAGCCATAATTTCAAGGGCGGTGGGCAAAGGACCTACAACCGAGGGACCCAAGGGAAAGGGAGGTGGTGGTTGTTTCGGTAATAGCATCTGGGTAACCGCCCCTCCCCACCCGCTACGGGTCCATTTGTTCAGTAACAGTATGAGGTGTTTTGAGATCACTCAGTTTTTAAATCTCATAGTGACTTAGTAGCTCTCTTTTTAAGTAGGATTTATTTTTAGAGCAGTTTTAGGTTCATAGCAAAATTGGGCAACAGTACAGAGACTTACCATATAACCCTGTTTCCACACTTGCACAGCCTCCCCCCTATTATCAACATTTCCCTCCAGAGTGTTGCAATGGATGAATTTACAATGACGCATCATTATCACCCAGAGTTCATAGACATTGGAGTTCACTCTTAGTGTTTGTATATTTTATGGGTTTTGGCAAATTCGTAATGATGTATATTAGAATTCTCCAGAGAATTAGGTAGGTAGGTAGGTAGGTAGATAGATTCAAGGAGATTCATTATGGGCTACTAAAGGCTGACATACGCCACTGTATGTTGTCTGTAAGATGGAGAACCAGGGAGGCTGGTGGTATAATTCATACTGTCTTAAAGGCCTGAAAACCAGTGTGGCTGATTAACTTCCAGTCTGAGGCTGAAGGCCTGAGAAATGAGGGTTGGGAGGCGCTAAAGTGAGTATTAGTTTCAAAACCAGGAGCTCTTCATCTGAGGGCAGGAGAAGGTGGATATCCCAGCTCAAAAAGAGAGCAAGAATTTGCCTTTCTGTTCTATTTAGCCCTCAGTAGATTGAATGACTTCTACCAACCTTGGTGGGGGCGGATCTTTACTCAGTCTACTGGGTCAAATGCTAATACACCCAGAAACAATGTTGTACAAGTTACCCTGGCATCCCTTAGCCCAGTCAAGTTACCAAAATTCACCGCCACAACCTGTGTCCACTTTTACAGTATTAGGTAGAGTAGTTTTGTTGCTACTAGAAGTCCTGTGTCTTTGTCTGTTCATTCCTCGCTTGGCGACCACTGACCTATTTCCCTACAGTTAGGCCTTTTCCAGAATTTCATGTAGTTGGAATCAGATTCCGGTATATTGCCTTTTCAGATTAGCTTGTTTCACTTAGTAGTGTGTATTTAAGGTTCCTCCATGTCTTTTCATGGCTTGACAGCTCATGTCTTTTTAGTGCTGAATAATAATCTGTTGTCTAGATGGAACAAAATTTACTGATTATTCACCTACTGAAGGACATCCTGTCTGTTTTTAACTTTTGGCAATTATGAATAAAGCTACTGTAAACATCTATGTGCAGGTTTTTGAGTGAATACCAAGGAGTATGATTGCTTGATTGCATGGTAGAAGTATGTTTAGTTTTGTAAAAAATGACTAAACTGTCTCCCAAAGTGGCTATACCATTTTGCATTCTCACCAGCAATAAATGAGTTTTTCCACGTTCTTGCCAGCATGTGATGTTTCCAGCATTCTGGATTTTGGCCATTTAAATTGGTGTACAGTGGTATCTGATTTTAATTTGCATTCCCCTGATGACGTATGATGTGAAGCATCTTTTCATGGGCTTACTTGCTCTCTTGGTATCTTTGTGACATGTCTGTTGAGCTTTTTGGCTCATTTTCCATCAGGTTGTTTTCTTATTGCTGAAATTTAAGGTTTTGGGTTTTTTTTTTTTGTTTTTTGTTTTTTGTTTTTTTTGCACAGTTTGGGTAACAGTCCTTTGGCAGATGCATTTTTTTGGCAAATATTTTCTCCCAGCCTTAATTGTTTTCACTAAGGAGATAAAATACTATGTGGTCTTATCTTAATATTCCATTCTGAGTAATGAACAAAGACATTAATATATATTATGAGGGCTGTCTCTGCCAAAATAGTGGCTACTTGATCATCTAGTTTGCAGGGCACATGAGTGTGACCCTAGTCATAGCAGTTCTCTTTATTGGGTCCCATGGTGACTTGGCAACTTGGAATAATGGTTGTGTTACTTGTCCTCGTAGAAGTGAGGACCATTAAGGACAGCTTGCAAGTCAAGATGGGTGGCACAAAAGCACCAGAACTTTTTTTTTGTTTGTTTTTTGATGGAAGAAATATCTTCAATTTAGTATAGTAGATTGATAAGCAGTTATTCCCTTAACAATTTAATTTAAATATGTGGGTGCTACCTTAGTGCAGAACGCTTTGCCAGATGCTATAAAAATGCAAAATGATGACCTGGTCTTTGCCTT